GCATTAGCCACCACCAAACTCCCAACACATTCACCACACAAATTCCAATAGATCCACCACCCCACCCCACCACATCCACCACCCCACTCCCACCACATCCACCATCCAACACCCACAACCACCAAAAAAGCTACTCCAAAAGCCCTCAAGAGGTTCAAAATGAAAAATTATTGCAAATGCTCTAAACGAGATGAAATTATAAAGAAACCCTTTTGGGCTAAAAAACTTCAGAATGCCCATGACCACAATGAACCAACCCCTTCCCATATTTCATTTGAAGCAATTACATGCAAGTCACCTCAATGAACCAACACCACAACCCCTTCCCATATTTCATTTGAGGCAATTAAATTCCTACACCACACACACACCCGCAACCACCATACACATACCTACAATTACAATACACAGCACCCAACCACAACCCACATCACACACAGCCACAAAACACAGAGCACCCAACCACAGCCCAACACAACACACACACCCACAACCACCATACACATACCTACAACAACACACTGCACCCAACCACAACCCACATCACACAGCCACAACACACGACACCCGACCACAGCCCACAAAACACACCCATAACCACCACACACACACACACACCCACACCCACAGCCACAACACACGGCACCCAACCGCAGCCCACAACACACGACACCAAACCGCAACCCATAGCCCACAACTCAATTAAGCATCTTCCTTCATTTTTAATTCAATTCAATTACATATAGGCCACTCGAAACATTGTCATCTACAAATGAAGCATCCTCTTTCATCCATTTTTCAATTTATAACTAAAGCATAAAAGAAAGTAAAGTGTAGTATTGAATAGATGCAAATGAAGAAAGGCCACCCGAAAGAATGCTATGAACAAACCAAGCACTCTTTTACATCCAATTTTCAAATTATCACACAAACATCAAAGGAATTGATGAAATCTCATCCAATATTTTTCATTTAAGGCAATGACATACAGGGGACCCGAAAACTTGTTATCTATGAATGAACACCCTCTGCAAATGAGTATCCAAAACCTTGTTATCGTCAAATCAAGCACACACTTTTATCCTTTCTCCAAATTACATCAAAAAATCAAAAAATCGCATAAAGAAAGTCATTCCATCAGAAAACTGCATACATATACCATTCCATCAAAGAATCGCCACAAATCGCACATAGAAAGGCATTCCATCAAAAATTACTTACGCAGCACAGTAACCAGAGGCCGGAGAGAGGAGGTAGAGATGAAAAGCACTGTTATTCACGAGATAGGAGCATTCGAGGGAGAGACGCGAGCGAGGAGTCACTTAGGGCAAAATGGGGGCCAAGCGAGGAATGAAAGGCATGCGGGGAATAAGAGAGGAAAGAAAGTGGGCCGCGGGGTCGAGCCTGCGGCCGCATTTATTAAAAAAACCTGAACGGCTTATTCGGATAAGCTGAGCGAAAGCACAAAACTCGGTTGTGTTTTCAAAACGCAAACGCACCAAATAAGCTGCCCCAAACAAGGCCTAAGATTCCAATTCCACACCACTATTTGATTTATGATTTTGATTTCTAAATCCTGCAATATTGCTATTATTTTGTAACCCAGAACATGGTTCCAATGCTCCCACTGATGAAGTTATTTCATGAAAAAATTAAAATTAAAAAAAAACTTATATGTATGTATGTATGTATGTATATATATATATATATACATATATATATATATATATATACCAAAAAAATCAACCCATTGATGTTTAGTTTCATTTGCAATACTTCAAAAGCACAGCCAACTCGAATAATCTAGCATATTCAAATTCGGAATCAATTTACTGGTAATCTGGAAAGGTAAATTCTAGATTATCAATCCTATTGAAATTACACAAGACGATACCTTCCATTGAACACAAGAATGCAATTTAAATCCAATAAGAGTTATATAGTGCTAGATTAGAACCATAACTAGCCCAATTTTGTTTAGCTGCATCTTTGTTTTCAATTGACAAAATAATGTCCAACTTTTGATTGGCATAATAGACAACCATACATTTTAATACTAATTTGGTGCAGGACAATTTAGGGACTAGCTAACTAATGTAACTTTGGATGAAATGCACAATGAAAACACATGCAAATGACAAGCCACTGGTTACAAACTATAAAGTCAAGGAAAATAAATCACTAGTAACATAAACGTAGTGAGATACTTCTTTCATTCCTAAAAGTGTTTTCAAATAATTTAGCCCAATAAGATGTGTACGAGTTAATTCTTGACTCATTGCACAAAGCGTAAAACAAAGCATTACTTTTAAAATTTTAAACGTTCATGACCTTAAGAAATCATGACTTATAAATCATATATACATATATTATGCATATGCAATAAGTCATTACATCAACTAACTTACAACACATCAAGGAATAACTTTTAACAAATATCATAATATAATAAATAGCAATAATTTCCAGCCTTATAAAAGAAAAAAAAAATCAAAACAAAAAAACATAAATAATAAAGTGATGAAAGTACAGTTGAGAGACTGAGCAACTAGCTAAACACCAAGAGGCGGATGCAGTGTTAAGCAATTGAGTAAGAAGATGAGACATAAAGATAATTATTGAAAAGAAACAAGTTATCAAGAAGTTGCAAGTGCATGCAATAATAACTAATGAGTAGTGTATTAACAAATTAGTGAGCAAGAGAGAATGATGAGAACCATCAAGAAAACAATTTCTCAGGCATGAGAAAATAGAGAATTAAAGATCAACAACTCATAATTGAGCGCTTGTGGCTAGTTATTGTGGCAATGCTAAACCAAGCCATAAAAAATAAATCAAAATTTTTATTATGACTTGGAACCAAGAGCATGCCCTAAAATGCAACACAACAAAACTTATCTTGACAGCTGCAATTGGTTGCGAGCATATGTTTCATCAGCAAGCAATGCACAATGGCATGCATCACTTCAAATCTACCAACGTGCACCCTTAATAACACGAATTCTAAAAAATAATTTAATAATCGCCAAAAATCTAAATTTTCATAATAAATATATAGAATTAGAAAAAAATTTAAGTGACTCCAAATACACATAGCAAAAAGAGATCAGACAAGTATCATGTTTAAGAAATTTTCAACCATGCAAGCATACTACCCGATAAATAAACTAAAAGCAATAACAATAATAAAAATGACACAAAAAAAAGATTTAAGCCTTGCGTTAGTACAAGAAAACTCATCCCCCAAAAGCAATCAACACCTATGAAGCCCTAAAAAAACATCTAATTAGTACAGCACAAAAATTGAAAAAATTTTAATTTTATTTCAACTCAATATTCAATAACTTACGCATGCATCAAGGATCCTACATATAATTAGGATTGCAATCAAGCTGAATCGAGTCGAGTATGTCATTGTTTGGGTTTGGACTTGGCGTGGTCGAATCGTATATTGTTCATGTTCAGTTCGAGCTTGAGATGGACTTTTACATAAATGTTAGTGCGTGCTTGCTTAAAATTTTTAATGCTCATATTTGATTTTTTACTTCACTTGTCTATATTAATGGAAAAACTAAAAATTTGAATGAGCTTGATTTTCAATATAGAAAAAATTGATTTGTAATTATTCTTTCATATAATACTAGTAAACAAGTTAAAATTTTAAATGAGCACTTGATTTTTTATATAAAAGTATTAAAGAATAATTTTATGAATCCAAATAAAAAGCAATTAAATAAATTTAAATTAGTATCTAACTAGTATATACCAAATAAATAAATACTATAAAAGTTGTAAGTAAGCTTGCAATCAAATCTCATAAAAAAGTACTAACAAATTAATTTATTAAAATAAAAAAAAGAAAATTACATCAAAATTTATGTATGTATTGATATTAAATTATAATATATTACTATTAAATATATTATTAAATAAGTTATAATTAATAAACTTTTATTTAAATAATATATAATATGAATATAAAACATTTAACAAGGTACTTGAACATTAATAAATGAGTTGGATTATGTTCAAATTTGGTTCATTTAAGCTCCGAGTTCTTAAAAAGTGTTCAAACTTGTTTATTTACTAATTTGAATAACATTATCGAGTATGAATTGAGTTAATTCAAGTTGTTTATCAAGTGCATCGGTTCATTTGCAGCCTACATATAACCCGTTAAAACCCAAAACATTTAAGGAAATCTTCAATATATGCTCTAAAACTGCAAGTGTTAACTCTCACAGAACTTAGATGGTATAAAGGAAATTTAGCTTTCATAATTTTCTTATGAATTCATCCAGAAAAGACAACAAGAGGCAGCAAAGCAATTTAGCAAACAAGAATAAGTCGGGGACAAAACTTAGGATAACAATCACCGGTCCAAGACTGCAAGGCCATAGCAATTTGCACTTCAAAGGCAGTTCAGAAACTGCAGCAAATCAATGGCCAGCACAGGGACTATAGCAAACATCACTTCCATAAAAATCTCTCAGAATTAGTTTGTAAATTTGCATCACTTATGCTCTTCAAGGAAGGGGGAATCATATAATAAACCCAAAATGTTGATCAACGGTATAATTAGCAGTACCAATAAATAAATGAATGAACTTTAAGTTTTAAATTTTCATAAAATCAAGCGAAAAGGTAGAATATTGAAAATGTATAAAAAAAGCAACCAGAGCAAAGAAGCTCAGAAGCATCAGACTAAGGGAAAGAACACAGCAAAAAGAGTTAATTTGCTAAGTCAAGTAACAAGTTGACTATAAGATACTTTAAAATGTCGACCATTTTGCTTTAAACGGTTCCATATGATATCATATGAGTAAGAAAAACATAAACACAAAAAACCGTCTCGAACAAGCATGAGATCTGATGAACGAAAAAGGCATTCAATCGTGTAGCTATTACTATAACAAAGAAGAGAAAATTAATGCTAAACTCCAAACTATTATTATATCAAATGCATCATTGTCAAAATCAGTAAAAAAAAAAAGAGTTACCTTACAGATAACCCACAAGAAAAACTTTTAAAATATTTGGAAGCGCCTTCAATTGTTCCGGACATATAAACACCTTTTAAACCTGAAAAATAAGACTATAAAATTAAAAAAATGCAACAAGCTCATTATACCTCAAAACAAGAAAAGGAAAGTGACATGAAGTGTGCTGTAATACACTAGCAATTTTTCACAAGCAATAAAAATTTTATACTAGAACATGGTGTCGGTCAACTTTTTGATGTTGAAAATATTTTTTTTTAATTTAATTTAATATAAGAGGTATATAATTTATTTTTTTTATTTTGAAAATAGCGTGTTTTAATTTTTTAGAAAATGAGACCGAATGTATCTCATTAGTCTAATAGTTTGCATAATTGTGTCCGATACCGCGAATGCTACATATTTCCGAAAAAAAAGTGTATATCTCGGCGATGGACCCAATATTGCAAATTAAGATATGTGTGACATCCGTTTGACCTACAAATATTTTTATGTGTGACTAACAAATTCTTCTGCCTAATATAAAAATTAAATAGGGTTTATTTTACGTGGGTTTCAAGTTTTCTATAGAGGCAAACCCCTATAGTTAATTACATCCCAAATGACTGGTGTCACTTGAGAAAACTCTCAATAATGATCAGAGGTACTAGTCTGCAAGAATTCAAGGATTATGTTTTCACGGTAGAACGCAGAAAATCAAGTGGAAAAAAACCAAATAGGAGCAGTTATTTCAGGAGTCCAAAAAAAGAAAAAGGTAGAGGACGTCACAGATCCTGTGGAGAAACCTCAGTGACATCCCAAACTATTCTATTGACCAAAGAAAGAAAAAGGTAGACGACGTCACAGATCCTGAAAAAGAAACCTCATTGACTTCCTAAACAATCATACTGTGTGGCTGCATTTTGGAAACGATATTATTCAATTGTTCAATTTTGTCAATTTTATTATTTGGGACTTATATTTGCATAGTATTTGATTATGCAATAGCCCGCAGAGATAGGAGAGTTTATGTCGTATTGGACGACAACCTTGAAACCAAAGGTAAGTTGGGACTTACGTTGCACAACATAGTTGCACAAGAGCCTAAAAAGAGTGAGGATTTACGTCACACTAGACGAACTACCTCGAAATTCGATAGGTTGTTATTTAGACTAAGAAGAGAGATTCTTGAAGATCTCCTTGTTGTTCAATCCAAGCCCTTTGCCGTGATGCCCACAAAGTTGGCTCCAAGCTCATTATTGAAGTAGCGGTCCTAAAGTCTAAGGTTCAAAAGGTTTTACCAACTGTGTTTAAATAACAAATTTTGTTATTATTCAAGCATTATGAGAGGGTTAAAGTTGATTAGAGCGACACCGGTTAGGATCTCACGGTTCTCTCGTTCTGGTACCACTATTTTCTTTTGAATTCACTTAGTCCAAATGAGTTGTTAAGCTCATTTAAACTGAGGATATCTCGTTAACAACCGTGGGTTACCTCATACGAGGGACTCCCGTAAACTCAAAAGTAAGTGTTATATTCTTTTTTATTTTTTCTTTTAAATTTTGTTTAATTTTTTAAATTTGTTTTGTTTTGAAAATGAAATTGCAACAAAGTATGCATGATACATTAAAACAAGAGTAAATTACAGTGATAAAAATGACAATAAATAAATAGTAAACGCATACCGATCATCTTCTCGCTATTCCCGCTGCATGGTTAGCTCATAAAATATAATATAATTTGTATAGAATTTACATATATTGCAGAAAAAGAAAGAAACCAGAAATTCTAGTGTAAAAAGCAGCAAAGCGAGTCGTAACACGAACAGGCAAAGCAAAATCCGTGGTCACAAATAGAAGACCAAGACTAAGTGTAAGACATCGGTGAAGGTAGGGGCTCAGAGATGGACTGTGTACTTTATAATGCAACTTTGGATAGAAACTACCAACTCAAACTATCGAAGCAAGGCCAACTTTTAACCACAACCGAAACAATTAACCAGTGGACCCTGGTAGAATTTTGTTAAAGGTTTATTTGGTTTTTCATGCATGTAGAGTTTATTCAGCAGACAAAAGTAATGTTGTTGCAAGTGGAGGTTTTTTTATTGTTATTATGATTATTATTTTTTTGTTCAACATATGTGAAAATGCGTGCAGGAGTGTAGTATTTGTGTAAGTGTGCACAAATGAAATAATCCACCGGTTGCTTGCTTCAATTGGGCTAAACTCACCTAGCAACCTAAAAGAGCTGGGGGCAATTTCGCACCAAGAGTTGGTGAATAATCTCATTGATCATTATCTCCCCTTTTAGAGAGTCATCGAGGCAGGAGATGTTGCCTCGATGTTGCTCTAAAATCTCACGTCATATCCCTCGTTTTAACACATTAGCATTATCGACATTGCCCCCAAAAAAAGAAAATTGGGGGGGGGGGGGGGGGGGGGGCTGATGCCCAACCCCAAACAAAACACGGGACAAAAGAGCGGAACGGCGAGTGGACCAGCTCAAAAAGGGCTTAAATCCTCATAAGACCACAATCCAGAGAAACCCAAAACTATAGGCAAAGGTACCCCAGAACTACCTCAAAACTATGTGTAAATCGACACTTAAATGCTACATAAACCTCTCCAAAATACTGTATAAATCAGCCCAGATTTTTTTTTTGTCTCCAAAATAGGGAATAAAGCAATCCAAAAATGTTGTTTTTAACACCTCCAAAACAGTGTGTAAATCAGCCCCCGAATGATATTTTTTGTCTCCAAAATAGTGAATAAAACAACCACAAATGATATTTTTATGTCTCCAAAAATGCTCAAGACTAGCCCAAATCAATCCAACAAAAGGCTCCAAAATGGTGCATTTAAAGGTTCCAATGCTGTGGTAAAGTCAGCCCAAAACGGAACCAAAACATCCCAAAACAAGGTGCATTTAAAAGCTCCAAAACTGCAGCAAAAATTAGCTTGAAACAGTCTCAAAACATCCCCAAACAAGGTTCGTTTTAAGGCTCCATAACTGCAGCAAAATCAGCCCAAAACAGTCCTAAAACAAAGACCAAAACTCCATTAAAAGATACTAAAACTACAGCGAAACCAATCTAAACCAGTCCCAAAACAGTGACAAAACCTCCTTAAAAAGGTACATTAACTGTTTCAAAAAACTGCAGCAAAACCAACCCAAATCAGTCCCAAAACAATGGGCAAAACCTCCCTAAAAAGGTAACAAAACTGCAGCGAAATCAGTCCCAAAACATCCTCAAACAAGGTGCTATTAAAAGCTCCAAGACTAGCAAAATCAGCCCAAAACAGTCCTAAAACAGTGACCAAACCTCCCTAAAAAGGTACAAAAACTACAGTGAAACCACTCTAAACCAGTCCCAAAACAGTGACCAAAACCTCCTTAAAGAGATACATTAACTGCTCCAAAACCTGCAGCAAAACCGACTCAAACCAGTCCCAAAAAAGTGGGCAAGACCACCCTAAAAAGGCACAAAAATTACAGCGAAGCCAATCCCAAAACATCCCCAAACAAGGTGCGTTTAAAGGCTCCAAGACTGTAGCAAAATCAGCCCAAAACAGTCCTAAAACAGTGACCAAACCTCCCTAAAAACCAAACCTCCCTAAAAAACAGTCCTAAAACAGTGACCAAACCTCCCTAAAAAGGTACAAAAACTGCAGCGAAACCACTCTAAACCAGTCCCAAAACAGTGACAAAACCTCCTTAAAAAGGTACATTTAAGGCTCCAAAAACTACAGTGAAACTAGTCTAAATCAGTCCCAAAGCAATGAGTAAACTGTTTCAAATCAACCACCAAAATTACTCGAAACAGTAAGAATATGGGGCCAAAATAAAACATCTATGGTTTTTTTTTCATAAAGCCCACTCCTACGAATTTCAAGTTTGCATAAATTTCAGGTTAAGTATGAGAAAACTGATAGTTAACAATAAAGTTCTATGTCCAAAACTTTTGAAATAGGTGGGTCAAATCGTCAATCACTGTTAAGGATTTGACCAATAATTGCTAATGATAATGCCGAAAACTGAATAGAATCAAGCACGGGCAAGCTCCATTATGTAAGGTTCCAAGTGGGCGACAAAACGTCAATGCATGTAACTTTCCAAACAACTCAAGCAGCAAAACGCCTATGAATTACATTTTGCAACCTCCTTCGTTGAAGTCAAAACGGACATTTCATAATGCTCCTGAAAATTGATTTGAAAGATTTACACATATACCACTTAATTCATATGTATTTACTAGTTTAGCACCTAAACTTCAAATCTCTATATACATACCATTTTACCCATGTATGAAAGGCTGCATTTCGGTCCTAGAAAATAGGTAAGCGTAGTAATTTGACACAATACAAAACGCTTGAATGCTATGCATATGAATGTGCGAGTCTAGGTGTTAAACATGCAAACATAAATAGGGAGTGGTATGCACGTAAACTTTCCTTAAAACTTGGGTGTATAACAATGCAGGTATAAGCTCGTTTCAATTCCCAACGGACCCTTGTAAATTTCAGGAGACTTTTCAATCAAGTTCAAGGTTTTCAAGCACAAATATCAGGTTGACATGCTCCAAATTGACCGTTAGCTAAGAAGTGAAAGGCTATCAAACTTGTAGTGGTCCATGAAAATAAGGATTATGCTTTGGAACATGCAACCTTCGACCATGTATGTTTAACTGCAATGGATCATCAGGAATCTTTAAAAAAATGCACTAAAAATCGGACAAACAACATATTGCAAACTGAGAAAAGCTAAAGGCTCTCCTTTATTTCCCTGAAACTCATAAGCATCCAAAGCAAAGTTAGATTCAATTTGGGAAAAAATAAAAGTGCTCGCTGCATTTTGGCTTTACCATAAGCCCTAAAAAAAAAATCTTAAACGGCTGGCAGTTGGTACGAGGAATAGGGGAGGAGAAGAATCGAACCAGAGAAAGAAGAGGAGGCAGGCGTGTTGGTTCTCAGTCTCGAAGAAGAGGGAGTCGAGCAGGAGAAAAGAGGACTTCGGTGTAGAGCGGCTGAGACGAGCAGGGCTTCTGATCGCACGAGAGAAAAGGAGCAGCTTAAGTCGAGCGAGGGAAGCGAGCAGGAGGTTCGATCGGGGGGGGGAGGAGCAGCTTCTGTCGAGCGAGGGAAGCGAGCAGGAGGTTCTATCGGGGGAGGTAGAGGCGCGCAGGGTCTTCGATCTGGAGAGGGAGGCGAGCGGCGTTTGGTCGTGAGGGAGAGGCGAGGAAAAGGTGAGGGCTTTGGTGTTGAGAGAAGAGGCGGGATCGAGAGAGTCTCGGGTCGCAGAGGGGAGCGGGATCGAGCGCGAGAGAGAGAGGCGAGGTCGATTGGGGCTTTCCGTTCGCAGGGGAGGAGCGGGGGCCGAATGGAATAAGGAGCTGAGCGGGATTTGTATCCAGCAAATCCTTTACGCTGAGTTAGGCGGGGAAATCAATTATTTCCATCTGAGGTGCAGATTTATTTGGAACGTAATAATCGCTAAATGAATTAATTATGGTGGAATTAAATGCCTCATTTGAAATTTGAAAATTTGAAATTCAAAATTATCTGGCTCGTGTTCAGCCCATGTCCAGCCCAAATTGAGCATGGGTTGAACCTGAACCCGCACCCCATAATTTAAAAAAACGTGTATCGATTTTCGTGTAAATTGCTTGCATGCGGAAATATAGCAATATGGGCGTCCTTCCTAGCTAAAGTCGATGTCACGGGCGCATCCGCGTCGTCCGGACCAATTTACCGACGATCGACCCGATTCAAGCCAACATCGTGCGTGGTTTAATGGGTGCGCAAATTATGGTGTCCGCGAGTGCTCGAGTCACTAAGGGTTTCCTTAGGGGCTGCTCCTACTCAAGCAAGAACTAAACTCGAGTTGCGTATGTCGGTTCTAATTAACTCAATGAAATGTCGCGAATTCGGGGCTGCCCATGCGAGACTCAAAGAAGTAAAGAAGTGGCTCGAATTTTCTAAACGGTGTAGGTTCAAGTCCTAGTCCTCTAGGAGGGTCAAACAAAGAAAACCTAAGGATACACCCTAGGCTCTAAGGAGAGAAGTAAAAACCTCATCCGAAAAATGAGGTCAACACATGGTACTTGAAGATCTATCAAATTCCACTTAAAATTTTATGATAAATGATAAAGATGCCAATGTGCAATATTGGTTCAAGCATTTTCCATGGTGGGAGCCCAAACAAACCATCATCATTAGCATTACAAAAAGATCGGCATGTCAAAATTGTCCAGCAAAACTTTCTCCTTTAAAACATGTCATCTAATGACTCAACCTTTTGCTGCCATTCAATTATTTTTGGAAGATTTGTGCACATACCAATCAATTCCTATGTATTTACATAGCTAACACCTAAGCTTTAATTTTTACATAACATCATATCAATGCATGAAAAATTGTATTTCACATTTTAGAAGTTAAAATGGCGGTATTTTTTATGGGATATGAAAGATTTGGGTAGTATAATTAGCAAAAAGTAAGGTTTAGGTGGTAGATATGTAAATATGTAGAAATTGGGGGGTATGCATGTAAATGCCCCTTTTCTCTAACCAGAACATACAATCCTCTCTCATTACCAATGATATTGTCCTCTACTACCAACTCACTCTAACTCTTTGTTTTCCTATCGGGAACGACACCCACGCCCTACCCCCTCCCCCCCCAAA